AGGAGAAGCCATCAGTGCCACACACCGAGAAAGAGGCGCCAACCCAAAGCCAAGAGCAGGCAAAACCAGGAGCGAATGCCGACGAGGCGTGGGATGTGCGCATGGTTGGATGGAGATAATGCTTGTGCCGCACAGCCATCACTCAAGCACTTCTGATGCCTGGGGAAGGCATCCAAGCCAAGCCCCTCTCAGGCAGGGATGTGAACAGCACGTCGGCGACAGTTGCAAGGATGAGGAAACATATTCATCTTGCCTGAAGGCTTACTAGTGTGACCTTGTTTGCCCATGTTTTCTGATATGTACTTGGTGACCACCAGAATATTGTACACTTGCATGAACCTGCGACCAGGATCCAGCGGAGCCCAAACCTGAGGCGTCCGACCATTGAGAGGGATTGAAAACTCGAGATTCTGCCAGACTGTCATTTCGCAGGTTTCTGAGAATTGAAAGTCAAGCGTCTGAAAACAACGTGCCAGGCATCACCATCAGCAAGAACTGCGCAGGGCTGCCCAGTTGCCCCAGACACACCACTTGCAGAGCAGCTCTCTTGCCAAATTGCTTACTTGTCTCAAGGTGCTAAGGCAGTCTCAGGTTCGCAATGCATATTCATAGTGGCTAAGTCCTTTGCAAACTAGAGAAAAACAACATTTGCCGGATCATCCCTTTTTTGCATCACATGTGGGGTTGGTTCCAGCACGATGCACAGACTGATTCTTGCATGATGCAGCAACTGCCATACAATTGTACTGTCAGGGTGGCAGAGGATCCGGAACCAGGAGCATAGTGCTTTTGAACGTTGTTTGCCGACATGAAGCAATGCCGCAGTGAAACAGTCCGGACCATCACGATCGTCCGTTTGCTTTATTCAGGGAGCGCTGCTTTTCTGTGCAAGGTCTGGCTTGAAGTACGGCTATGACTTTGGACGTTCGGGCTCCAACCAGTCTCCAACCCTTCAGCATTCATTGCCTCAGTTGCATAAGTAACGAATGCGCTCCAGGACGGCCTGCGCGGAAAACCAAGCCCGGCCAAGCGCAGCTCAGATGCACCGATGTCCAGCGCAAGGGGGCACGGGTGTGGGCCCATGTTTTCAGGTGATCTCCACATAATATCACGATGCCTGAAAGCTGCGCACTGTCAAGCTGAACTTTGGCCTGAAACTGGGGCCGGAAGATTGGATTGCAAACAGATCGAATCGCAGTTGGGACTTGTTTTGCGTTTTCTGACGTGATTCTCCAACCGTTTCAGATGTTCGTGTGTTTTCGGTTGGACTTGTTCCACTTTTCACTCATTTTCTTTGTAACTTGTTCATTTTTGTAACTTGTTCATTGGACTTTCCACTTTTTCCGAGGCCGCGCAAGGTGCCCTTTGGCGCCCGCTTGCAGCCGGTCACTCGTCCTGCTCAGGCAGGGATGCGGATGCAGGGATGCAGGGACGAGGGGATGCGGGGTGGGGTTGGCTGGGCAGAAGGAGCAGGTCGAGTCACCATCGGCAGCTTCAGTTTTGATGCGAGGTCTTTGGAACATAGTATTACATGAGAGAAGAGGATTGCAAGCGAATGGCTAGACTAGACAACATACACACTCACACCCACCCACGAGCCACACACACACACACACAAGCCACACACGCACAGACAAATGCAAGAGAACCACCCAGAGCTGGTCCAGCTTAGTTCTGTTTGCGCGTCAGCCTGTTTGCCCGCCTGCCCGCTTATCCTTTGGATCATGATCAGATGTCCAAGTTGATTAAGCCATTGCAAGGGGCAGACATGTCATGCTCCCCCAAGCAAGCCTAGCCCCAGACACAGCTGAAGCAAGAGACATCAGGCCTTCTAAGATCTAGGTTCATGTTCGAGCAAACGCAGACAAATTTGCCATGCAAACACTTGAGAACATACAGAACATGCAGTCTGTACAGTGACACAATCTGTCGTCACACAGTCACACTGCGTGGCTGCTGCGGGTATCCAATGAGCTGAGCGGATGTGAGATGCGGGCCTCCAGCATTGCGGCCGCCCAGGCAAGCTTTGAGTTGATCAATTCGAGAAGAAACTATGCGACTCCCTTTTGTCAAAAATCACTTGTGTCAGTTATGCCGCTTTAGATCATACAACTATTTGGGGTGCGCCCTTGTATTTTTCAGGGACACCAACAAGCTTCTAATCGGATCCTATTATCTTTCTACTAGCAAGCTATTTGGCTTTCGTTCTTTTGGCATGCTCATTTGCATCCAACACAGGTTGCGAATAATTTCGTGAACGGGAACTGCACATTGACGCTGGCCACACGGGTCAAGCTTAGGAAAAACAAGGGAAGGACGCCACTCAGGCGTCGTGCGTTTGTGAACGTAAAATGGCCAAACACAGGGGGGACACAGCTCATTTGCCAAACGCACGCCCATGTTAAGCTGCAAAAACAAAGTTGGTGACGCCTCCACAAGTCCACAAGTCCATGACGGCTCTGGCAGAAGAAGAAAAAAATGGTGAGAGTCAGATGCTCGAAAGCTGCAAGACCAAGCTTCTCCCAGCAAACAGAAACGCCCCCAAAACACCCCCGGGGACATTAAAACTAAGAAGGTGTTTGTGCAAAAAACTGCTGACATACAACACAGCGACGAGATCAGATGCTCTGCAAACTGTCAGACCAATCTTCCAGCTTGCACAAGCAGCCCCTCAAACCTTCCCGGGACCCTAAAACTAAGAGGGTGTTTGGCAAAAAATGCTGAAATACAAACAATGACAAGATCAAATGCTCTGCAAAACCAATCGCCTCCCAGCCAGCAGAAACAGCCCCTCAAACCTTCCCGGGATCCTTAAAAACTTAGAGAGTGTTTGAGCAAGAATGAAAAACAGACAATGCCGAGAATGCGATCCTCGGCAAACCTGCAAACAACGTACATGATGCCTTGCATCTCGTGAACATCGAACGTTGCTACCCCTCCCCCCCATCCCCCCCCCCAAACAACATGCCTTGCATCTCGTCAACATGCAACGATGCTGGGTTTGCTGGCAGGGACACGACGCCCTCGTGGCGTCCCCACCAAAAGCAACAGTAGGGCTTTGTTGAAGCTTCTGAATTTTCAAGCGAATGTGCTCCCTTTCATGAGCTGGGTGGATCAAATCAACTTCACCATCCAGACAAGTTCCTTCATCGAGACATGCGCATGCCCGAAGGAAACATATTTTTGAGGGTCTCTCTGCTCCAGGCGGCACTGCGGCAGAGCCGCGGTGGCGCGGAGAGCGCCCGCGATGTGCCGCGCTCTGCAAGGGGCACTTCAGGGGGCTCGCGGCCTACGCCCCGCATGATAAGGCCTGAGGGTCGAAAGTGAGGAACTCTGAAGGGAAGTGCCAGAAGATACTTGTTCACTTCTGCACAGCTTGCCTGATTTTCACGATTCCGCACGGATCAGTCTCGGGTGGGCCGGTGGGGCTTCCCTTTCAACAGGTGCTTCAGTGGCGGTCTCCATGAGGACAGGGCGAAGAGATGCATTGCGGTATCTTTTTGGCCCCTTGCGTGTTGTACCAAGGCTGACGCAACTCCTTTCACGCATTCTGCGACACTGAGTGCTCGGGTTTCGCACGGATGGCCCAAACACGTGACAAAATATATTGATGCAAACCGGCAATTTGCATGCACGCACACACACACACACACTGGCCAGCACGAGGATCCTTATTTTGTGTTTAGTCCCGATTGATACCATTGCCACAGACATAGCTTGTTTGCGATATTAGGCTCTAGCACATTACACTGAAGTGGCAGTGGTCAAACATAAGGGATCACTGGCGCACACCATTTCCATTGTCTACTAGCACTCATGAGCATCACAAGAAGTATCTCCCTGAGTCAGGCACCTGTCCATGCACACACTCTTCCCCATGGTTGTCTAGTGGCCGTTGCTTTCGTAACACATACGCTAGGTTCTCGACGTCATTCCAACAGGCATGAGGGATTCTCGTTTGCGGCCAAGCTTGAATGTAAGCTACATTGTGTGGCTCAGCCCCGTTCCTTGAAAGTGAATGAACCTGATTGGGGACTTTGCTCGCACGTGCGTTCATCATCAGGCGTTGTTAGCAGGCTTGCAGGAGGACAACACATAAGCAGTATGCAGCTGGCCAGACAACCAGATCGATGTGAACAGCTGCAAACCGAATCACCATATCCATTCAACCGAATCGCACCAGCCACAGATTGGCAGAGCTTCGCGCATGCAACAGAAACCGCTAAGGACAAGTCCAAGTTCCGACCATGCTAGTGTCCTAAACAGACACACCTCCTAGGATTCAGCTAGCCACATTGACATGGCACCGCAAGCAAGAGCTCCATTCTTGCAGTGTTTGATCCCTTTGATAGCCATTGAGGTGGCAATCCTCAAGAGACCCACAAGCTCAAAATTAAAGATTGACTTTGAGAAAGCTCAGCAGACATGCCATGCGTGTACGCGGTTATGTTTCAGAAACGGTTCATCCAACGCTTAGTATTGTGATTTCATTCATCCTAAAATATGAGGACCAATCATGGCTGGTATTGTTGCTGACAGCTGCAGTCATTGTTTATTCAGCTGTGCTTCAGGACACTCTATGTTGTAGCGCCGTCAAACACGCACACACACACACAGATTCAGGTCTAGTTCAGCATTTGCACGGCTCATGGTTTTGTGGTACAGCGCGGACGCGTGTGTCATCACGACCTTGTGCTCCGAGCATGACAGCCACTGTGCCACTCAGCGATCCATGCCGCATACATGTACAAGGCCAAGTTGCACCAGCGTGCGGTTGCAGCTTGATGTGCTAGGAGAGGCTCCGGAAGATGGGTAACTTAGCGTCCTGGCTACATGAGGCGAGCTGACTGCCAAGAATGGTAGATGTTCGCGGTCAAAGGGTTTTTGTGCCATTGCTCTGGAAAAACACGGTTATGGTTGTTGCCTGGCATAGTGCGAAGCAGAAGTGAGTTGGGCAAAGCTTGTTCCAGTAGGGCGATGGAGTCTGCATGGTCAGGGACAGCCGCGGTTTAGTGCGGGCATGGCACCTGGAACTCTGACATCAAAGCTTTGCATCTATCCGGACTTGAGTCTGAGTTAAACTCTGCCAGGGCCCGGACAAGGGCATCTACCTTCCGCTGCCCACTCGTGTGTCTGTGGCTGACGGCCCGCTAGAAGAAGATGAGATCGAAATCGACGGCGTGCAGCATGAGGCCGCTTGTATGTAGCAATTTAGTGAGTTGTTCTTTCAGGTTATTGATTCGTAAGTTCGAGAGAGAATCATGCATTTACAAGTGCACTTTCTCATCGCCATGCTATGCAGTTCGTGCAATTCCATTGTAGCTTGTCACCTCTTCAGTCGTTTATTTCGTGATCAAACCCTCCAGTCTTGGAGTCAGAAAGTTTTCCAAACCCCGCTGTTTTTTCAGGTGATTAGGCTGACTAGAGTCCTTGAAGCCAGCGTTGTGGTAGTTGGCCCTGGCCGTTGGACACGCAACAGCTTTTCTCCAGCGATTTCAAGTTTCCTTTTTTGCATCATTTTGGCCCTTTCCAACTTCGCAACCTCGCCAAGCACCTTAGCACCACAGCACCTTTGCACCTCAGCACCGTAGTGCCTGACAGCCTGAACTTAGGACTCTGGTCAGGACTGCCCAGCCAGTATGGAGGAGTTGCGAGCCAGGGTGAAGCAAATGATCGAGAATCTTGGTTGCACAATGGCTCGAGCAAGGGCGTGGGCCTGTTTTTGTGTTTGCACGGCTTAGACATGGTTGGTTTTTCAATTTCTCATCCACAGCGTATGCCGTCCAACTAGTCTAATCCAGGGGATGTGGAAGTATCTGGGTTTGTCTAGCGAGAAGCATTCGTGGCAAACTGAACCTAAGGAATCCTGCCAGCGGCCGCGCGGCCGCCTTTTTTCAGTACATCATGTTTATTGTCATCATGGCTGCCGTTGCCTGGCAGAATGGAATAGATGAGGAGGACTTGTCTCGAATGTCAGCAGCATCACTTGCGGAAGTGAATATGTCCAACTGGCAGAAACATCAAGCAAGAGCAGCTAAAGTGAAACCTGTAGTCTAAACGCAGTTTTGAAGCCTAAGAGCCTGCTTCAGGGAGCCGTGTGAGCAGAGGTCACTTGTGCGATTTGCGAGACAATTCCCGAAATCGAGCACGAAATGATCTTTCATTTGATGGAGCCCGTTTTCACAGCGGTCTTCACCATCGAGATTTCTTTGCGGTGGTGGGTTGCTCGCAGTGCCTTGGAGAGGATTCTTGAGGGATGAGGTTGAACAGGCGAAGTATGCTTTGTTTCCATGTGTTTGCATGACTTGTCTGAGCAGTTCATTTTACGTAGTCTCCCAAAGCAGCTTGCACCAACTTAGTAAGGCATACAGTGACGGTCAAGCCGCTTGCTTGTTTCCGTCAT